AGAAACTCCCAGCCTCACAGCAGAGTTTGTTGGAGTGACCTACAGGGTCCTAGAACATACACAAACCCATCCACTTGGGAATCAGCACCAGAAAAGCCCAATTTGCTTGTGGATAGCAAGGGAAATCACTGAAAGTGGAGCAAGAGCGAGCAAGTGGCACTGTTCCTTCTCTGACCCCTCCCCCACATACAGAGCCAAAATGCAGCAATGTGGGTTGCCCCACCCTGGCAAATATCTAAGGCTCCGCCCCTTACAACATAACAGGCGGACTAAGACAAAGAAACACGGCCCAAAGGAAAGAACAGATCAAAACTCCAGAGAAAGAACTAAGTGACCAGGAGATAGCCAATAAATATCAGGTGAACAGTTCAAAACACTGCTAATCAGGATGCTCACAGAAATCACTGATCACGGATGCAAAACAGAGGAAGAAGTGAAGGCTATACAAATTGAAATAAAGCAAAATATACAGGAACCAACAGTGAAGGGAAGAAAACCAGGCCTCAAATCAATAATCTGGACTAGGAGGAAGAAAGAAACATTCAACCAGAACAGAATGAAGAAACAAAAATTTTAAAAAATGAGGAGAGGCTTAGGAACCTCCAGGACATCTTCAAACGTTTCAACATCTGAATCATAAGGGTGCCAGAAGGAGAAGAGGAAGCAAGAAATTAAAAACTTACTTGAATAAATAATGAAGGAAAACCTCCCCATTCTGGCAAAGGAAATACACTTCCAGGAAGTTCAGGAAGCTCAGAGAGTCCCGAGGACTTGGACCCAAGGAGGAACACACCAAAACACATCATAACTGCATTACCCAAGATTAAAGATAAGGAAAGAATCTTAAAAGCAACAAGAGAAAGGGAGACAGTTACCTACAAAGGAGTTCCCATAAGACTATCAGCTGATTTCTCAAAAGAGACCTTGCAGGCAAGAAGAGATTGGAAAGAAGTATTCCAAGTCATGGAAGGCAAGGACCTATATCCAAGATTCTGCTATCCAGCACAGCTATCATTTAGAATGGAAGGGCAGATAAAGTGCTTCCCAGCTATGGTCAAGTTAAAGGCGTTCATCATCACCAAGCCCTTATTATATCAAATATTAAAGGGACTTATCTAAGAAAAAGATCAAAAGTATAAACAGTAAAATGACAACAAACTCATAACTATCAACAATTGAACCTAATAAACAAAACAAAAACAAACTAAGCAAACGACTAGAACAGGAACAGAATCACAGAAATGTAGATCACATGGTGGGTTATCAGTGAGGAGGGGGAGAATGTGGGAAAAGGTATATGGAGTAAGAAGCATAAATGGTAGGTAGAAAATAGACAGGGGGAGGTTAAGAATAGTATAGGACACGGAGAAGCCGAAGAACTTACATGTACAACTCATGGACATGAAGTAAGGCGGGGAATGCTGGTGGGAAGGCAGGTGCAGGGTGGAGAGGGATAAAGGGGAGAAAAAAAATGGGAGAACTGTAATAGCATAATCAATAAAATATACTTAAAAATAATATGGGTATAATAATTTATCATTTAAATGTGAATATTTCACCTGAAATATCATATGATGTGCTTGAGTGTGATATTGTTACAGAATTATATCCTTATCATTTTGTAATAAAAAGGGGGGTTATTTGTGCCTGTATATATAGAGAGAGAATCCTTTACAATATAAATGGCCAACAAAAACATATACAGATAGAAAAAATTCAAAGTACAATATAAAAATAGTTGTTAAATGAGCAGAGAGGTATATTGGTGTTCTGAGGATAAAAAATTAGTTCAGGAAGAAATATGAGGAAGATTGTGAAAGCAGGTAGAATTTAAGTTGAAACTTATGAGTAAAATAGATAAGACATCTTATAACAGAACCCCATTTTCCAAAAGAATCCCAATTTTTTTTTTAGCCAGAAATATGGGAATTACTCTAACTCTTCGCTGCCCACCTACTGGTGCTACCCCCAATATCTTACAAACATGTTTACATCTTGCCTCCCCATTGACAGCATCTTAGTTTTGGCCACTATTATTCTAACCTAAGTCCTGACAGATCAGTCTCCTAAAGGGTCCTCTACACTATGCCAAGTCCATTTTCCAACTGCCTAAGTCATCAATCTAAAATATAAATCTCATCCTTTGTTACCCCTTCTTCCCTGAAATCCTCCCACTATCAGGGAAAAAACCCAAACTCCCTAATGCAGTGAGTCTTCTGTGATCTGGTTTCTAACTACTCTCCTAGCCTCATTCCTCTCTACCTCATGTCTCAGTTGCTATTCTCCCTGGGGGATCCTTCCTGCATTGTCTCTTTCCGGTTCTTTGCCTGGCTAATTCCTGCCACTGCAACTTTTTCCTTGAAAGTTTCAAACAGAAAAGTTAATACAATAGTACAATGAGGGAGCAGGGAGGGGGTTAATGGTGGAAAGAAGGGGAAGGGACTAGTCAAAGCACAGGTATGAAGGACCTGTGCTTTGGACTCATGGACATGGACAACAGTGTGGGAATTGACTGTGGGAGCGGGGACTGGGCAGAGGAGGGCAAACAGGGAAAATTGGGACAATTATAATAGAATAACAATAAAAATTTAAAAAAATAGTACAATGAATATGCCCTTCATCTAGATTCACCAGTTGTGATACTTTGTTTTGCTATATTTACTTTACCTTTCTCTTTGAACCACCTAAAAGTTAAGACATCACAAAACTTAACCCCTAAAAGTTTAGCAAGAACAACCCTCTACAGATCCACAAATACCATAATCACACTCAAAATATTTAGCATTTGACAGTATTACCTAATATGTAGTCTACATTCAAATGCTCCTAATTATTCTAAAATGTCCTGTATAGTTTACTTAGCCCAGGATCAAACCTAGGTGAAAAACTGCATTGGTGGTAGTTTCCCTGTATCTTTTAGGACTTAATTTTGGAATCATTTCCTCTGGGAAATCCTCTCTGACTTCCCCTATCCAGTCTGGATTACCACCTAAATGTTTTCATATCACCACTATCATGGTATCATAATGCTATTTTGTAATTATCTATTTATTTACCTATTTCCCCTATTAAACAAAAAGCTCCTTGGGGGTTTTTATTCTCTTTATTTATTTATTTTTAGAGAGGGGAAGGAAGGAAGAAAAAGAGCAAGAGAAACATCAATGTGTGGTAGCCTCCTGCACACTCCCCACCAGGGACCCAGCCCGCATCCCAGGTATGTGCCCTAGACTGGGAATCAGGTCTGCAGAGGGGTGCTCAATCCACTGAGCCACACCTGCCAGGGCTCCATGAGGGCTTTTCATTCTCCAGACCCAGACTGTCTGGCTCACAGTAGATATTCAATAAAGGTTGGTTGAATGAATGAATGAAAGAGCTATGAATAGCAAATATGTCCATTATGGACAGAATTGTGCCCGCCCCTCCAATTCATATGTTAAAGTCTTAACTCACAATGTGTATTTGGAGCTAGGGTATTCAAGGAGGTAATTAAAGTTAAATGATGTCATTAGAATGGGACTCTAATTCAATAAGACTGGTGTCCTTATAGGAAGAAGAGACACCAGAAGTGTGCAAGCACAGAGGAAAGGCCATGTGAATACAACACAAAGGAAGCTGTGTCTGCAAGCCAACAAAAGAGGTCTTACCAGAAACCAACCCTGCCACAAGGTGATGTTGGACTTCAAGCCTCTGGAACTATGAGGAAGTAAATTTCTGTTGTTTAAGCCACCCAGTCTATGGTATTCTGTTATGGCAGCCTGAGCATACCAACACAATGACCAAAGTTTTGTGCCCACGATCCCATCATAAATGGAATGCTAAACAAAACTTATACCACTGCTAGAACAAAGATCTGCAGAGAAGACTTCTTTTCCTACTTCTGGAAAAATGAACCCCAAATTTAATAGAAAGAATAACAGAAAGCATGACATACATAAAAAACCCCAATTAGATCTTCAAGACTACAAGCAGAAAATTGTTAGTATCTATCAGCAACTGTAGCTATCCAATCAGATGGTAAAAAAAGATAGAAATATGTAGAATATATAGAGCACATGTCAAAAGGAAATCTGTCATGGAGCTTAGAATAAAATTATAAACTTACCTTCCCAATCTCTGCTCTTTAAGATACCGCTGCTAAGCTGCTTACATGTACCTATCCATGCTTCATCTTCCCCATGTAGACTACAAAGGCAATGGCCTTGTTGGGTGGTGGTACTAGCTGCTTTGATCAATAAGCCTACTACAGTGTTCTGCTTCTAACATACTCTTTATAACTGCTGGCATATGAATCATCATGGACAACTTACCCATCTTCTAATCACTATCACTAGATTCTCAGCAGAACAACTGATTGGTCTTTAGGCCCTCTTCCAAACATTCTTTCTCATGTTGACCTTTTATAATCATCTTTCATACTTGGAAAATGATTCAGCCAAATGAGCTTGCTACTTTTCACTTAGCTCATTCACACATTAGCAAGCCAAGATTTTCTTGAAAAATAAAAATGTGTTTTAGTAGAATTTAAATAAAATCATCACAGTATTTCACAGCTATCTTGATTTCCAAACAGCTCAGATTAAGAAGCTTGAAAAATTGAAAATTTGGCTGACTTCTATGCCCACCTTACTCTTGCTCCAGTACCCAGAAGAGGATACAGATCCACTAATTTTTTCCAAACAGCTTACAAGGTTACCTTTAAAGTTTGCTTTTGGTGCTGAATAGCATAAATACAATCAAAGTATTTTCATAGCCGAAACTTTTTAAAAAAATCAAGTTTTAAAAGCAAGTAAAATAAGTGTTAGATGCATATCAAAATCTTGATCAAACTTGGGACCCAAAAATTACCTGCTTTTATTCCAAAGGCTACAATCATTAGAGGATATTTATTTGTGTACTTGTTTTTGAAATAAAAATTAGACGGAAAGAAACTGGAAATACAAACAGGACTGGTCCCTTATGCACATACACATAGGTTTTTTACTCTTAATAGCATCATTTACCTTCTGCCCTTCTCACAAAGTTTCTCAATCTCAGCTTTCAGATCCTGCTCCTTCTGCAAAAACTCTTTCTTTTCTTTCTCTATCTTCTTCTTTGTCTCTTCTCGCTTTATTGTCACATCCTGGATAGCCTTTAATATCTCCTGAGTCCCATACAATTACAATCACACACAAATAAGGAAGGAAATAAATTAGTTATTTTGGTTTGAAAGTTATTTTCAACTATCACACATTAACATATTGACTTTAGTAAATTCAAACTGAATGGAAAGAAACTGGTTGATGAGTGGCTCCAAAAGCCAGTATTGAGATGTAAGGAAGACAGTTAAAATAAAGCAGATTTCAATTCAACGGGAGAAAATATTTTCTAACTGTTCAAAAATGGAATTTACCGCCTTGTGAAGCAATAAGCTCTCCTCTACTGGTGTTCAAATAAAGGCTGAATGAACCTGTCAAGAATGTTGAGAAAGGTATTCTTGCACAGGGTGGCAGACTGTTACTTTCAACAAGCATGGTCTTGTCTTGTTTTGTTACAGTCCCACTTTATTATGTGTGAGGTTAGTTTTTTCTTTTCTTACTATTTAACAAGTACATATATATATATATATATATATATATATATATATATATGATAAGTAGTAATAAAAAGTTAAGTCACTCCCTAATGCACACCCACTCCATCCATAAAACAATCAACATATTGCTTTGTACTGTTCACATCTTTCATCATTCTCATACAAACATGTGTATACTTAGGTATTTCATTGCTTTTTCATTTTTTAAAAGAGGTCATTTTATTATTCTGTATCCTGCTTTTTTACACTTGAAATGAACATATTGTCAATATACAACTAACTCAAAAGTAGCTGCATAATATGACATAATGCACATAAATGCAATTTATCCAACCATTCTCTGTTAAGAGTCCCTCAGGTTGATTCTGGTTTTTTGGAACTAAAAACAATACTGTAATAAACATTCAAGATATCTATATTTTCATATAAAGGCTTTCATTTCTATAGAATAGATTCTTAACAATGAAATTGCTAGGTCACAGTATGTGTACATTTTAAATTTTAACTGACAATTCCTAATAACTTTCCCAAAAAGATCATAACAATTCATACTCCTGGGTATGTCAGAGTTCATTTTCCTCACACTTGACAATGTATTTCATTTTCGCCAGTCCTTTGGGGGAGAAGGAGGAATGGTGTCTAATAATTATAATGCGTACTTCCCTAACCCCCATTCTTTATTGTTTTTACTGTCTGTCTCCTTCAACTAGAAGAAGTAGTCAATGGAGGCAGAGAATGTTAAATCTTCAGAGCCTGGATCAGGAACTCAAAAAACACTTGCTGAGTGAATGAATAAATACCAGTGAGGCTGAGCTTCTTTTCATGTATTTATGACCTATTTGCTTTTCCTCTTCTGTGAATTACTGTCTATAATAGTCCCTCCCCTCAAAATATAGGCACATTCTAATACCTGGAACTTATGAATGTGTTACCTTCATGGGAAAAGAAACTTTGCAGATGTGACTTAGGTAAGAATCTTGAAATGGAAAGGTAATCTTGGATTATGTGAGTGGCCCAATCTAATCACAACATGGGTCTTTAAAAATGAAGAACCTGTCCCTGTGGTGACCCCAGGAAAATGTGATTAGAAAAGAATGGTCAGAGGTGCAATGTTTCCGACTTCGAAGATGGAGAAGGGAGCCTCAAGTCAAAGAATGCACACAGCCTCTATAAGCTGGAAATGCAAAGAAGCATACCCTCTCCTAAAGCCCCCTGAAAAATATGACCTTGCTGACACCATGATTTTCACCCAGTGACATCCTGTTGGACTTTTGACCTATAAAAACTGTAAGATAATAAACTTATGCTGTTTTAAGCCACTAAATTACAGCAGCAATAGGGAGCTAATACAATAACCTTTCCTGGTTTTTCTATAGATTATTTGATTTTACCACAAATTTATAGGAGTCTCAAAGTGTCACGGATATTAAACCCTTCATCAGACATACTACAAATATTTTCTCTCAGCCTAACATTGATCTTTTTGACTGTTTTTTTTATCACTTGCTGTATCAAAAATTTTTAATTACATATAATTGAATTGATTAATTTTTTTATGGCTTCTGGGTTTTCTGCCTGGCTTAAAATGATCTCTTACAACTTGAGGTTTTATAAATATTACCTAAATTTTTTTATAATGTGAAAGATTTTTCTAGTTTTTATATGTAGATTTTTAATTTACCCAGTATAGTATTTTTAATATGTGATAAAAGTCCAATCAAATGATTTTCTAGGTAGACTATCAATTATGTCAAAAAACTATATTAAATAAACATTCCTTTTCTCTCTGAACTAAAAGACAAGTCAGAGTTTGAATAAGATGACCTCAAAGGTTATTTTTATCCTTAAAATTCTACAATAACCATTAAAAAGTTAAATACTGCTTTTCTAGTTCTACTAATTTGAAAACAAAATTAAAGTTTGATTAGGGACCACAGCTTTAATTATTGACAATCATAACATAAACAGAATACCTGGTGATTCTTCATTTCTTCTTCTCTCCTTTGCTGAAGTTGCTTTAACTGTACTTGGAGCTGATTCTCCACTTGCCTCTGCTTGTCCAGGACCTCCTGGTACCGTTCCTTCAACAGGGTTCTCTCTGTCATCATTTTATCCTATTGGTAACAACAGAAAAAAAGTGTAGTTCCCCAATTTAACTGCAAGAAACATTCCCCAGGTGCCTGCTCAAGGCACTATGCAGACCTCCACAGTTACAGTGTTCAATACTGCAGCTTACTACCCATGTATGGCTATGGTAATTTAAATTAGAAAAAGAAATTAATCAGTTTATCTAATTAGTTACAGTCTCCTAGCCATATCCCATGTGCTCAAAGCTACATGTGACCAGTGGCTACCATATTGGACAGCACAGATAGGGAAGATTTCCATCATTACAGGGAGTTCTACTGTACAAAACTGCACTACAGCAGAAGTTGGCAACCTATGGCCTGTGGGCCAAATCCAGCCATTGCCTATTTTTGTAGATAGGGTTTTACAGGAACACAGCCACAGCCAATGGCTTACAGGCTGCTTTCACCCTACAACTGCGGAGTGGAGTGGTTACAAGAGAGCCCATACAGCCCATAAAGTCTAAGATATTTATTCTCTGACCCCTTAGAGAAAAAGCTTGTCAATCCCAATTCCAGGGAATAAGAGGAAGGAGGCATTTTATCATTCATTAAGAGAAGGAGGAAAAGAATGGGCAAAAACAACATATCACCTACCGAAATGCATCCAGAAATAGGATTTCTTACATCATTAGCTCTGAAAACTGAGAGACCCACTAAGAGGCATAGGGAACTTGGGATTCAGGTTGAGCAAAGCAGCAAGCTCTCATATAAAGTTGGGAGTAGAACAATAGTTCAGCTCTGCCTCCCTCAAATCAGTAAATCAAAAATAGCCATGGTCACCTTTCAAAGGGACACTAAAACTTACAGAGGGTCAATTTACAACACATAGGTATAAGGGAGTGCATAATTACCATAAATTCATGAAAACGAGGGCAAATAGAACAGGAACCAAGTTTCTTGCATTGCTGCCAAGCTTAACACCTGCCTGGTTCCACTGCCTTTTTAAAAAATTGTAGATCGCACCACCACCCAAAAGAAGACAGCCAAACAAACACAGCTCTGGGCCTCTTTTGGCCCAACTGCTTGCCAGTTTCCACCCGGTTCAGACTGATACTAAAGTGTATTTATAACTTTAGTTGGCCTCTTCAATTGCTATATAGTCATCCAAACCCCATCTTAAACTACAGGAACGAAAATGAATACTCTATGTAAATAAACAGATTAGTGTAAGTGCTGGAGAAAAGATGACTTTCTCTCCCTTTCTCTGGAGGTTCTCTTCTACCCAGAATATCTCCATGAGGTCTCTCATCTCTAGGATCTTTTTACCTGCCTGTTATTAACAACTCCTGAGTAGCAACTCTCTACTGAAAAGTTTTTACTGGCCTCATCTGATTAATGTACTCCAATAATTTATTTCTTTCCATCTGCCTCTAAATTTCTTCAACATGCTCCACATATTCACTTTCTTATGTGGTTACTACAAGCACTTTTCCTTTTTTCCACTCAAATAACACATCTTACCCTACAGACTTCTTCGTGATCCAAGGTGGCTTTTCCAGCATTATCCTCTTAAAAAAATGTACATTTAGATAGGCATTCACTTAAGGGGTAGAAGTTTTTGCCCCAAAATGCCAGTGATACATAAAGGGGACCAGTGTAACAAAGATAAATGTGAGGTTCTCCAAGTTTCTTTTTTAATGTTTGCCTCTATCTTTGCCCATCTTTTAAAAGATTTTATTTATCTATCTTTTAGAAAAATGGGGAAGAGAGGGAAAGAAACATCGATGTGTGAAAAACATCAATCAGTTGCCTCTCACACACACCCTGAACTGGGGACCAGGCCACAACCCAGGCATGCACTGGAATGACCAGGAATCAAATCAAACCAGAGACCTTTTGCTTTCAGAGACAACATCCAATCAACTGAGCCACCTTGGTCAGGGCTCTCTCTCTCTCTAAGCTTTTAAAACTAATTACCTAGGAATAAAATGTAAAGTTACAACTAAATAATACGTGACAGAAAGACTTGATGGAGTTTGGCTGAAAGTGATGAGACTGCCAAAATAAGGCAACAGCTTATGAAATAGTGTCTAGAATGAGAGCTGGAGCATGAGAGTCCCATTGTATTATGAATTAATTATGCTCTGTCTGGATTATTACATTTAGTTTTCAGTATCACATTTCAAAAAAAACATTGATTAAGATGGAACATGTCTGGATAAAAAGATAACCAGGATGATGAAAGGACTGAAACTTATCACATACAGAAAAAAGGTCTGTTAAAAACATCTGGGGCCCTGGCTGGTGTGGCTCAGTAGATAGAGTGCCAGCCTGCAAACCAAAGTGTTGCCAGTTCAATTCCCAGTCAGGGCACATGCCTGGGTTGCAGGCTAGGTTCCCAGTTGGGGGCATGCAAAAGGCAACCACACATTAATGTTTTTCTTCCTCTCTTTCTCGTTCCCTTCCCCTCTCTTTAAAAACAAATAAAATCTTAAAACAAAAGAAAACATTTGGGGATGTTTCCTAGAAAGGTTCAGTCCTGAGAGTTAAGAGGAAGAGGCAAGGAAAAACAAAACTTCAAAACTATGTAGGGCTACTGGACAACTTCTCATGGTGGCAGCAGCTTGTGGGACATGGACTGGTGGTGACTGAGCTGCAAAGTTGGCGTGTGTACGCCAAACCCAACCTGGCCTCTGCATGCTACCACCTGTGCACAAACCCTCTCTCCTGCTCTATCTTGCACCCCTGATGCTTAGCAGGTGCTGGGCTTCCCACGACTGGGAATGATGGTGAAGTATTTTCTGGGCCAGAGCATGCTCTGGAGTTCCTGGGATCAAGTGTTTTCTGCCTTCTGGAAGTGGTACCCAAATCCCTATAGCAAATATGTCTTGACAGATCACCGAGAGATGATCCCTGACCATAAGTTCCTGTCCCAGAGACTCCTGCCAAGATCCACAGGTGGCCCCACTAGGCCAAGCACCAGTTTCCTGCCAACGCCACTCACTCGGTGTACATACTGGAGGATTCTATTGTGGACCACAGAACCAGACCATGACCATCTTCACCTAGAATATCAACCATGCCCAACTGCTGGTGGTGGAGAAATGATGTGTTTACTGTGTGAACCGATAATAGCAGCTGGACTAAATCCTCTGGGAAGGCTGGGTCTCCTCTAGCTTATTTGGCATCTTCAGAGATGTCCAGGAATTTGGTCTCACCCAGTTCAAAAGCAATGTGACCAAGACAATGAAGGGTTTTGAATATATTTGGGCCAAAGTGCAAGGTGAGGCCCCTTCCAAAACTCTAGTTTGAGGCAGCCAAGGAGGCCAAGGAGAAAGCAGAGGAGATGGCATTGGCAGTAAAGACAAGGATAAGAACCTTGCCAGCAAGGCAGCCACCAAGTATCAACAGCAGCAGCAGCAGCAGTAGTGGCAGCAGCAGTTGGTGTAGCCAGCCCAAGACCTGGTGCTGCAGCACACCAGATTACCTGGCTCCACTCCCTCTGCCCTCCTCACTTGTATTTTATTACTAAAAGTCAACTTCTAGCCCAATCTACTATACAGGTGGTGGTTTGGGAGTGTGGTGTCTTGTTTGGCATCTACAGTGCACCAGACATGTTACCCACATCAGGGCTGGGCTTGCTTCTTCCTGCATCAAGTAGCTAAGGACAGAGGCACAGAGAGGTGCTGTGACAGGGTCACAGGCAGCATGCAGGCAAAGTGATCATAAACACCAGACTAGAAGCTCCATGAGGGCAGGGACCTTTGTTTTGTTCTCTGATGTGTCCCAAGTACGTGGAACAATATCTAGCACATAACATGAACTTGATAGATATTTGTTCAATTCAATCAGTGCCCCCATCTCTCCAAAAAATATGTAGAATAAGTAAAAGAAGACTTAGATTTACTTTACGTAACTCAAGAGTCTTAGAGGTTCTGTCCTCACCTCAGAATGAGATCTAACAATAAGAACTATTTTAAAAATGCAACAGGCAGCTTTGTGAGCAGTAAGCTTCCCATCTCTGGAAGTGATCATGTAGAGGTCAGCTGACTTTCCTTTAGGAATTGTATAAAGGAGGTTCCTGCACCTTTTCCAACTGAGATCATATGACTCCAGATTTTCTGCATTAATGGTTTTATATATCAACAATGACAGTTTACCTACTTACCAGGTTCTTTTCAATATCTTGATCTGTGTTTACCTCTGAATCAGCAGTCTTAAAGTCAGTCTATAAAGAAAGAAACAATACACTCAGAACCATTCAGTGACATTTTAAGAGGAAGAATTACTCTAGTACTTTCACCTAGAAATCTGCCACAAGTAACTAAGAAACTAACTGGCTTCACGGCAAGAGAAGCACTGTAGTTCTGGCAAATGGACACTGACATCCACACTGCAGTGAGCACTTATCCCATAAAATAACCTGAACAAAACCCAACAACTAACAGAGAGACAGCCTAAAGTCTGAGATTGGAATTTTGCCCCCTACAACCTATGGTACCCATCTTTCCTCCTACAACAAAGTACACCAGTCACTATAAGGCAGGATACATTGTACTTCTTAAGATGTAGGTCAGAGAATTAACAGATTCCTCCTGCAAGGACAAAGATGGGAAATATGAATGTGAATGACCTACACTCATCAATTACTCAGTGAAAGAGATTATGTGTAGATCATAAAGTTCCTAGTCACCACAATTAGACAATGGTTCCTGGCTTTATTATTTACTGAACACCAGAATGAAGTCATCACATAGCACCAAATGGAAATAGTATGCAAGTTGCCAGTAAAAAAAAAACAACACACACACAATAAAGAGTAGTTCTCCGCCAACCATGAAGAAATGTCTCTTACCCTAAAGAAAAAAAAAAGTGCCCAAATTCCATTTTAATAGTAGAAACTTGATACTTGACCTGTACAGCAATGTTCTGAGAAAGCTTCAGGGAAGAGCTATCCTGATCATCATCCTGATCCACTCTGACTCCTTCAACCCCATTTGCTGGAGGTACTACAGGTCGGAAATCCAAGCCTGCGTCCCTGCTACCTTCCTTTAGGACGGAGGCTTGTGGGGATTTCTCTTCAGAACAATTCCTGGAGGCAAGTTGCTTTGTATGGCACCCTGCCTTAAGAGACCGAGTGACAGGGTGGAGGCTCTCCTGGAGGCATGTGTCCCCCTCCTCTCCTGCTGTGTCGGCCACGTCCTTCAAATCAGACTGAGACCCACCGCCAGAAAGACAAAGGGCTGTGGCTACCAAGTTTTCTCCTAAAACCGCCTGGTGCGCTGCTGAAGTGTCACCTGCTGACGAACCAGGATTCTGCTCTGGCTGTTCCAAATGGACATTTCTGTTATTCTCCTTGGTTATCGTTTGGCTACTTACACTTGACAGAGGCGAGTTCTTGTGCTTCTGTGCAGGGTCTTTGGGGCTACCAAAACATAAGATAAAATGTTTCTCTCTTCACCCAATCTTAAAGAGGATTAAATACATAATACTTTTCATGTAACCTCTGAAAGAACAAGACTAGACTATAAAACCCCCCCAAATTATCAAAATGAAAAAGAACTTAGTTTCTATCCAGTGATTTTACCCCACATACAGGGAGTATAGCTTGGTGGTTAAGAACCTGGATTTTGGAGATAGTCTACAGTAAATGACTACACATAAGTGACTCTGAAGATTTAAAAACTTTTTGAAGGCCAATTTGAATAATTATTATTCAAATATTATTATTCCTAGTATTTAAGAATAATATTATTATTATTCCTAAATATTCAAATATTATTATTCCTAGTATTTAGGAATAATACAAATGAAATAGCCTAATGTTAGAATATTTCATTTTGTTACATGTAGTTATACATATTTTAATAAATAAAATATTAATTTAGAAATGTTGTTTTTATTCCACACTCACATTTCACAAAAATAATTTTCACTCTAAATCACTATACAGATCTCTGACCAGAACCACTTTTTGGGTTCTTTGACAGTTTTCCAGAGCACAGCATCTTCACTTTGAGCTGTCTTAAGTATAAACAATTTTGAATCAAAAATTGAAGTTGTAAGTAGAAATTTTATCCCAGAAAAGGACACACATGTACAACACTGGGATAACTGTTTTATTGTTTGTAACAGTGACTTAACATATTGATTTTTTAAGAGATCTTTAAAATCTATTTACAGTGACATTCAACATTTGTAATTGTTAAAGTTTTTCACAAAAGAACTAGATTTCATAATGACTAGATCTGTGGTAAATTTCTTTGCCTTTTTTTTTATTTTAATCATTGTTCAAGTAGTTTTCTCCCTTTTACTCCCAATGCAGCCCACCCACCCAACCCTCCCAAATTTCTTTGCCTTTTTAAAAAAAAAACCCAAACTAGCATACACTGAAGCTTCAGGTCACTATGCCTTTCTTTCCTTAGTAGCACTTGCTGCTCAAAATAAAACAACTGAGAGAACATCATGTAATATGAAAATCTTTATAAATACTCCAAGCTGATCCCTTGCTGGGAGTTAGGAGTTGGGAGGGGAACAATTAATTACAAATTTGGGCATATATAGTATCTAGATGTGAATCCTGACTCTACTATTTACTAGTTGTTTGATTCTGGGCAAATTACTTAACTCCATTTGTAAAATAGAAATACTATCACCTACTTAATATGATCATTGTGAAATAATAGGATTACGTGAAATAATGCATCTTAAGTATTTAGTACAGTGCCTGGCACATAGTAAACACTCAATAAACTTTAATTGGTATTACTATTACTAGTAGTATGGGGCTGATTTTATTTACAAATTGAAGATCCAAGTTTATGGTTAGGCTTACTTAACATTTTTCCTCATACCCATTTACTAACAAACTTCTCTTCATTTAAACAAATATATATTAAGTACTCTGTTGTCAAACAAGCCTGGGTTCAAACTCTGACTCCAGCATAGCTTGGTAACCTTGGGCAAGTTACTAACCTCTCTGTGTCTCAGTTTCCTCACCTGTAAATGGGAATAATAATATTAGCACCTACCTCCTAGGATTATAGGGAGGATTAAAATGTGTTAATACATAAAAAGCTATTAGTATAGTATCATCTATTGCATTAGATCCTAGATACTCTAGGAAAGAGCTAAAGTAGAATATACAGTCGATTTAGTACAATAGTGTACATACAATGTGTCAAGCACTGTAAGATATAAGGTTGGATGATCATAATTCCTGCCCTCAAGAGTTCAGGTGGTAGGTAAAATATATACATGAAGCAGTAAACCATATTACCAAAGCTATCTATCTATAGATAGATACAGTTATATAAATACAAGCACACATATATATGTGCATATACATGTATCTATGTACATATTACATAGAAGATGTATATGTATATATACAAACATGTACTTAAATGAACATATAATCCATGTAGGATAGAGTGAAGAAATATTTGCATTTTTGGATGAGTCTGAACCCTTGTATTCTAATCTATTTATTCAATAAACATTTAGCATATCTGCTGAGTATCAGATGCTATGTTAAAAATATAAATCAGAGAGTCCCTACCTTTTAAGAAGCTTAATCTAGTGCAGTGCAGTGCTACTAAAGCCAAAAAGAGAAAAGAGCAGCTACACTTCCATAAGAAGCCCAGCTCAAAAGCCCTTTACCCAAAAAACATCTTCCCAGTCAAGAACCCACACATTACCTTAGAGCACCTAGGAGACCTCCGTCTGATTTGGAAGCACATACACTAGAAGAGGACTCTGGAGGATTGGGGGCATTGTCCACCACACCAGCCACCTCAGGTGCAGCCATCATGTTCTGCACATTCAGAAACAAATTACAGGCCACGAGTTTCAAGTTTTTAAAACAAATGTATCATTTCCCCTCAGAATGCCCACAAAACAGTTAGTTGTTCCAGGAAAGAAACAAAGTTGAGTTCCAGGAGAAAATATTTAAGAGCCTTTACTCTATGGTAGGGTATTAACAGAGCCAGTGCATGCAATAGGTCCCAGTAGACATCAATCCTCAGGAAGCACCATATTTATATAACCATAGGAGTCTGTGCAAAGTCTTCTTCACTTTTGGCATAAATGCAGTCATTTAAAACATTAGACCAGAGTTTTGAGACTCTTTCAAATGGTCCAGCTCACCTAATACCATTTACAAAAGATGCATTGTTTGACCTAATATCAACAATATCATACATTTTTTAATTATTTTACTGCTGTTACATTAAGAGCATCCTCCACTAAGAGAAGTTTTAGGGAGGTGTTTTGTATGTGAAAGAAAAGCAATATTATATTGGGCAATCTAAGTATCTTTTACTCTGTCAGTACTTCCCCAAGAATGGGAAAAGTTTGACAACCACTGACTAAGTAAAGAACAGACTCTTCACAGTTACTACAAGGGTGCAAAAGAGTATAAGAATCTAAATTATGCTCGCATGAAAATAAGCTGAAAACAGGACAATCCCAGTAAAGGAACTGGGATAGATGGCTTTCTTAGATCAAATGATCATCTTATCTTTTATGTTGCAGGACAAACTCATGGACCTGTCTGGGAAAAAATATACATCGGGGGGAAGGTGGTGTGACATAAGGTTAGTTTAAATTCTGTTTTTAAAATTTTAGTTATAATAACAGCTATACATCCTTGACCCTTCAAGAGCCCGTAGGGCAGGTACGAAGACAGTTGTGTCAACACTTCAGTCACAAGCCAGAGATTCCCCATGCCTCAGCTTTCCCCAAATTATACAAAGCTCCTAGGAGAAACTGGGCCCCCAAATCGCCGTTACTGCTACCTCGGTGCAAACATCCTGACCCCAAACTACCCAGAGACCCGGGATCCTTGGTGCCCGGTAAATCGAAACCACAGGGTACGGGTCATACATGCATCTCCAAGCTAAGGAGACCAGGGAGTAGGGGCCAGGTACATCGGGCTGCAGCTTGGGATGGAATATGGAAGGTACCAAGGGAATCTCCTCCGCACCGCAACCTGGCGGCGACCGCCAGCGAGGCGGTGATGGCGTGAGCAACGGGTCCTCGGGGGAGAATAGGGGACGGATGTGAAGGGGACAATGGGTGAACGCAGCGCCGGGTGGCCACGGCCACCCTACAACTAGCTAAGCCAGCCTCTACCTCCGACAAGAGACCCTCCGCACACTCCCCTCCACCCAGCATCCCGCGGCCAGCTCCCGTGCCACTTCTAGGCCAGGACCTCCGCCCGCATCCTCAATGCACCCTCCACGCCCCCCACCTCAACTCCCGCCTCCCGGCATCGCAGCCCCCAGCCCGTGAACCCGCCCCAGCATACCCCTAGAGTTCCTAACCCCCGGGAGGAAAGAGGGGGAGGGTCGGGACGCACCTGAGCGGGCGGAGCGGGGGGAGGGGGCGGCCGGGCTTCGGGGGGAGGGGCCGAGCGCTGGTCCCCGCGCTACACCTCCCACTTCCGGCGGCACGAGCGGAGGGGCCGAGGCAAGGCCCGGATAGGGGAGGCCGCAGTGGCACCGGCCGCCCCCGACGGCGCCCCCTGGCGACCAGCACTGGCACCGTGGAAGGGATGAGGACTTGCGAAAGCTCCCTAAGATACAAGTGGACTCTCGGGGACGTGGGGAAGAGAGGAGATGCAATCGCAAGAAGGAAGGATACCTAGTGGAGGGGAAAGCCTTTCTAGAAAGGTTACTGGGAGAGTCGGGACCATGGCAGTTAGAGAGGGAAAAGAAACGAGGTGTTTTTAAATGTTGCAACCAAGAAGCCCTTTCCAGAGAACACCATGAAGAAGACGGTCGTTCTGGGGAATCCCCTCTTGAAGATACCCAAGACCTCGAGACTGTGGAGCCCTCGAGGAAAGCCCGCCCACCACACCCTCACGCTCCTCTCTCGGCGAAGGATCCCCGAAAGAGCAGCCTCTTATCACCGGTTGCTCCCGGTCGGCCCGGTCCGGCCCGGTGACCCGCCTTTGATTGGCTGTGCCGCCGGGCGGAAGTGATGCTGCTGTCACTAGCTTCGGACCCCCGGGAAGCCGCGAGTTTCCGCAGGGAGGCGACGGCTGGAGCGGCGGCCCGGCCGGTGAGTTGGTAACTCGGTGGGGGCGGAGTACTGTAAGGCCAGGTGGCCGAGAACTGGGGGGAGCCGGTATCCGAGAATGAGGGAGCCGCACAGAGTGCTCCTCGTTCCAGGCATGGAATAGCCCAGGGACATGGGGCACCGGAGTCAAGAATTCCAGAACAGTCTGGGTCCCTCTGAGGAGGAGTACACTGGACGGGGCAGTCGAGGCCAGGGAGGGGGAAATCGATGAAACTGACCCCTGCACGCAACCTGGTTTCTAGAAGCACGGTGTAGACGGTGCGAGGAGGACAGTCTCTTGGGAGCAGAATCTTGGACTCTGGGCTTTCTAAATTACTCCTATTCTCCCTTTGCACCCAAGAGCTGTAAAGATGTGTTCAGCAGTTGGAGGAGGTTAAGATCTGCTTCCAGAGGTATTCAAGATTCTTTTCCTGGAAGCCTGGGATGGGGTGGGTGGGGTAAAGAACTGCTGTGACAGAGGGCAAGGAGGAAGTGGTGGTCAGGTTGTCTTCAGGAAATCTACGGAATCTCCTGAGATTGAAGGAGCCTTCCTAGATGAGTCACTGTCTTACTAATAAACAAGCTTGTGTTTTACTTATTAAGGTATGAACACTGGCAAAATCACCTGAATATCTTGGGACTATCCAGGCTGCTGCTGTAGAGCAAAGAGGACTTTGAAAGGGAGTGTGCCTGGAAACCTAAAAGGACCAGAGAGGAGATGTGGAATGCAGAACCTTGGAAGGAGATGTTAGATGGCATAAGTTCCCTCTCCGTTTCCAAAGAGACTTCAGGAAAACACCCACTTTTCTGTAATGTTTTGAGTCAGGTCCATTGGGGTATCTGTGTGAGTACTAAGCAATACCAGTAGAGAGCAGGTGCTTCTAAAGAAGCCTGGCCACCAGTAGGTACACAGAAGTTCTGCCACCCGTTCACTTGTTTCTGTCCCCACGGTTGCCCACCAGTTGTAATTTTTATCAAACCATGGGTGGCATTCCTGGGTTTGAAGTCTGAGCCCTCACTTCTAAGCCGACCTATTGAGTTAGTAGCCCTTTAGTGCAACTAAGGGTAGCCCTGTAGTGCTGCTTTCCAGGCATTTCTTCTTTCCTGGTTACCCATTTGCCCTTTGTGCCTGTTCAGTTTCATTTGCATTCCCAGATTTTCCTCTTTTCCCCTGCCTTCTGCCTACTCTTACTTTCCTACTACCTGGACCTCCAGGAAATGTTACAACCTACTTTTTCAAAAGGGATTTTTGGTAATGGTCCAATCCTTCTTTTAGGTCTCTGGGGTAAAAGGAGAAGAAAATTGTATGATGGTTAGAACAAGAAATAGAGTTTCTGGGTTTTGTACTAATTTGGCCTTATTGTACCAGTTCTGTTCCAGTTGATGACCTGTCTGAGGTCCCTGGAAATGATACTTGATGATTGGCCAGTTTCTTTGGTTACAGGTCCTGGGGGTTCATTGCAAGCCTCTGTTTGCTCCACTAGGTTTGGGAGGACACCGTTTCTTCTTTTCTTGGGGTCCACAGGTCTGCAATCTCTGCTCAGAGTCAACACAACTCATAGTGAAAGTGATGCCTTTTCTCCATTTGCACAAAATGAGCATGAGGTGGTTAGCCAGACCAGGAGCTCAACCTCACATACAGTCCAGGTGGGAATGGGGCCCCACTGGGGAGACTTAGCCCTGAAGATATCTGGACCGGGAAATCAGCTGGGGAAAGATTTTTTCTCTCCCCCCAATAAGGGAGGAGGGTCTCTTCTAAAGAACAGTCATGATTCTGCCAGTAATCTGTGGGAGTGATAGGACTTTTGAGCCCTTTTCTTGGCAGCAGTGTGAAAGAGCAAGCAGTATGGTGCTTGTTAGCAACTGGACATGCTGCCTAATTATCTGGTGAGATGAGGTGCTCACTGGAGTTAGTCCCAGCCCGCACTCCACCTGGGGGCTTGTCCCTGTTGGACAGAGATGAACTTGAATAAAAAGAGAGGATCACATGTTTCCTAATTTAAAAGAAGCCAATTGGGGTTCTCCAGTTGTACATTGATGGCTTAGTCCCCCTCTCAGATTACTGCAGTTATCAGCTCTTTTATCTCTCACGTCCTTTCTCTTTGTCTGCAGCCTACTGCTCTGATGCCGAAGGGGAGGCAGAAAGTGCCACACTTGGATGCCCCCCTGGGCCTGCCCACCTGCCTCTGGCTGAAATTAGCTGGGCTCTTCTTACTGGTTCCCTGCATCATGGGCCTGGCAGGGACAGGTGGGCCTGTTGCCCAGGGCCCAGGGGGGCTAAGCTGGGCTGTGCATCTGGACAGCCACAAAGGCAGTGGGGAAGAAGAGACACTGGAGCAAGAGGCCAATGCCTTGGCCCAGGCAGCGGGACTGGTGAATGTCGGACGCATTGGGGAGCTCCAGGGCCATTACCTCTTTGTCCAGCCAGCTGGGCACCAGCTGGACCAGCAGGTAGAGGCCATCCGGCAGCAGGCAGAGGCCGTGCTAGCCAGGCATGATGCTGTGCGCTGGCACTCAGAGCAGAAGCTGCTAAAGCGAGCCAAGCGCAGCATCCACTTCAATGACCCCAAGTTCCCACAGCAGTGGCACCTGGTAAGTCCAGCCCTGTAGTGTTCAGCTTTAGATGGGTCAGTCCTGGGTATCCAATTCTTTTTTTTTCCTTTTTTTATTATTATTTTTTTAATCATTGTTCAAATACAGTTGGTATCCAATTCTTTTTGTGTGTGTGTGGGATCTAAATAGCCTTTTTATTTATTTATTTATTTATTTATTTTTTATTTTTTTAATCATTGTTCAAATACAGTTTTCTCTTTTTTACTCCCAATCCACTCCCCCCTCCCACCCCTCCCCACTTCCCTCCCATTACCAACCTCCCCTTAGACTATGACCATGTGTCCTTTAAGTTTGTTTCTGTGAACCCTTCCCACTGTCCCCTTAAATTCCCTCTTCTCTCCCCTCCAGTCACCATCAGCCTGTCCTCTATTTCAGTGTCTTTGGTTATATTTTGCTTGTTTCTTTGTTTTGTTATTTAGGTTCCTGTTAAAGGTGAGATCATATGGTATTTGTCTTTCACTGCCTGGCTTGTTTCGCTTAGCATAATGTTTTCCAGCTCCATCCATGCTGTTGCAAAGGGTAGGAGCTCCTTCTTTCTTTCTGCTGCATAGTATTCCATTGTGTAAATGTACCATAGTTTTTTGATCCATTCATTTACTGATGGGCATCTTGGTTGCTTCCAGCATCTAGCTATTGTAAATTGTGCTGCTATGAACATTGGGATGCATAGGTTCTTTTGGATTGGTGTTTCAGGGTTCTTAGGATAGAGTCCCAGCAGTGGAATTGCAGGGTCAAAAGGCAGGTCCATTTTTAGTTTTCTGAGGAAGTTCCATACTGCTTTCCATAGTGGTTGTACCAGTCTGCAGTACCACCAGCAGTGCACTAGGGTCCCCTTTTCTCCACAGCCTCTCCAACACTTGTTGTTTGTTGCTTTGTTTATGATGGCCATTCTGTCTGGTGTGAAGTGGTATCTCACTGTGGTTTTAATTTGCATCTCTCTGATAGCTAGCGATATTGAACATTGTTTCATGTGTCTTTGGATCTTCTGTATGTCCTCCTTGGAGAAGTGTCTGTTCAAGTCCTTTGCCCACTTTTTAATTGGATTCCTTGTCTTCTTAGAGTGCAGTCGTGTAAGTTCTCTATATATTTTGGAGATTAAACCCTTGTCTGAGGTGTCATTGGCAAATATGTTTTCCCATACAGTTGGTTCTCTTTTAATTTTGATACTGTTTTCTTTAGCTGTGCAGAAGCTTTTAATTTTGATGAGGTCCCATTTGTTTATTCTTTCCTTTATGTCCCTTGCTCTAGGGGACACGTCAGTAAAAAAGTTTCTTCGTGAAATATCTGAGACTTTCCTACCTACGTTCTCCTCTAGGACTTTAATGGTGTCATGTTTTATATTTAAGTCTTTTATCCACTTTGAATTTATTTTTGTATGTGCTGTAAGGTGGTGCTCACGTTTCATTTTTTTGCACGTGGCTGTCCAGTTCTCCCAACACCATTTGTTGAAGAGGCTATTTTTATTCCATTTTGTGTTGCTGCCTCCTTTGTCAAATATTAATTGACCATAGAGACTTGGGCTTATTTGTGGGCTGTCTGTTCTGTTCCATTGGTCTATGTGCCTGTTTTTATGCCAGTACCAGGCTGTTTTGATTACAGTAGCCTTGTAATATAGTTTAGTGTCGGGTATTGTGATCCCTCCTACTTTACTCTTCTTTCTCAAAATTGCAGCAGCTATTCGGGGTCGTTTATAATTCCATATAAATTTTTGAAGTGTTTGTT